CTGAAGGATATTGTTAACAATGAAAAAACATTTTGGAATGAAATGTTATCATTGCGAGAACATCATTGGAGTTTACGTCGTGGTGATAAAGAAAAAAATATTGGACAACAGATTTTTGTCCATTATGGATATGCTGATGGTAAACCTGCGATCATTCAGTCGTGTTATAAAAATTGTTATTTATGAAATATTTCATTCATCATAGTTGGTTCGATTCATGGAGATATTTCAAAGGCACAAATATTAAGATCACCAGATGAAAAGCAAGTTGCAGTATCATTACCTCAAAAACCTAAGAAAGCAGTCAAACTACGATTACAACAAAGATCAAACAGCCTTCTCACTGTTGAGCCTTGTATTCAAGAGAATTCATGTAAATAATTTATTCTTAACGACTTTTATAAAGAATGAGCAACCATGCATATATATATATATATATATATCTTTTTATTTTTTAAGTACTTCAGTCAGAATCAGCCGAAGGTTCAAATATTCACCAGCAACTTATTACCGCTCAAAAAGCTATTTTTGAAGGAGAGTTATTTGACCAAGTATGTTATAGAATAGCATAAATATTATTTTAATAATTTCGCAATCAATATACATATTTATTATCTGTTCGCTTATTTATTTTAACACTTTATCTCAAATTTAGTTGATACGAGAAGCACGTAATATACCTGGTATCACGTTAGTTGAGAATGAAATATTCGTTCAGATATATGAAGGTGTGGATTTAACGATTCAATGGGTGCGTTCTAAGGTTCAATTTCTGATTAATGTCGTTTCACGGATGATATTAATTCGTGTTTTTTAACAGGCTAATATTGACTCTATTAAAGAGGCTCCATCTTCAGATGATGCATGGACTTCAGAAACAGATAATTTTGATATGACAATTTCTCCTGAATCATCCACACCATTCACGTGTACCGTATTAAAATTAGCAATGGATCTTTTATTGAGGAGATGTCATCGAATACAACTGCTTAAGAAACAGGAACGCGTATTAAATTGGACTAGAGGGACGCCTAGAGAAAGGTACGAACACATACGATAGTATAATGTTTATTCGGTAAAATATGATTGTTAAAATTATCTATGTCAATAACATATTTTAATAATTTTACTAGTTCTGGCGCTCAAATCCTCAACCAGGTTATTCATCTGCTTAAGTATTATTTCTTTTGCAAACATATACGAGATATTGTAAAAGCTTCTACACGTGCATTGAGTAGTGGTGGAGTACCTGTACAAATTCATTTTATTTCTAACCTTGCTAAAGGTAAAGATTTGATCGATGATATATGGAAAAAGATTGGAAAAGATAAAATTTTTCTTTTTTCTGGTATGATGATTGTCACTATTGATCACAGGTATTTATTTAAGTATATACACATATTTTTATGTAAATTTGATTGGTGCTTATTTTAGTCGTGTTTTCATTTTTCAAAAGACATAGTATTCGATTCACCTTGGAATCACCAACGTCAGTGATCGTTCATCTGCCTCATGGTGACATAAGAACACGTGGTCATGCCCAATTTCAAGATTTGGTTTCAAGGGAAATCATATTATTACTGCTAAGAATTATTCATGAGCAATTAATATATTTAACTGGTTTGGATAATGTAGTGTCAGGTGAAGGTAACTGGTGTGTGGATGTAGCGTTATTACTTATATACAAAGATATACCACCTATAATTTCAGAATCTTCTGTTCAAGAGGTCACACAAGATAAATGGTCAAAATCTTTGTGGAAACGTCCTATGTAAGTCTTTAATTCTATATGGTTATATAATCTTATCTTACATCGAAACTTATTGAAATGTCTTCTATTTTTTTTGTTTGGATACGTCTAGTAAAATATCAATTGTTAACGGTCAACCTTCACCAGATAAGTTGACGGTGAAAATAGATGCTTTTGGAATAAGCAAAGGACCTGAGCTAGTTATTGGTGGCAATGAAGGAAAACATATTAGAAAAGAATTTGGAGAAATTATTTATGAATTTTTAATTAGTCTAATGTAATTTACAACTGGAAAGTCTCAATTAATTTATGAAACATTAAATTTCACGTAAGATAATGTAAAAAGATCAACCGTTTAGAAATACTATAAAGGATCGAAGGCAATAAGATCATTGTAAATTATACAAAATGATAAGTTTAATCTTTTATTAATTATTCGCGTTATTTATTTATTATTTTTATAATAACATAAAAGAAACCTTGATAAAGTTATAGATTCATAACAAGGGTTTTATTACTAAAGAGCTGGGAGTTTAAATTAAATACAGTAAGAGATACTAAGTTTAGAGATAGCATATGTATGTACTTTTCACAGCGTGGTGTTTAATGGTCACATATCATGTAAATATTGAAATGCGGTGTCAAGATTTTTTAACCTCAAAAATACAACGAGTGATAAGATGCATGTGATTAATTTCGCAACATGAATCTTCAGCAAAATTATCGTAAGGATTACTTCAAGTAATCAGTACTTGTGCATGATCTCTAACATTAACTAATCACATTGAGAGAAATGCTTGAGAGCACTCTAAATTTACAAAAGTTTACAGAATTGAGGAGCAAATTGTTAAATTTGAGTGAAGTTTTACTATCCAGACTTGGGGTTTCCATGTAAGATAATAACGGGATACCCTACAAGGAAAAACATTCCTTTTCGATTTTACAAACCGATAAAAAATGTCAATAAAAGTAATTAATAAAACAACAATACAATATATCACAGTTGAATTTTTACATTGGAAGCAAGAAACTGAATTATTTGAAGAAATGAAACAAATTTCTGCTGTAGTTATAAGTTAAAATAAAACATACAATCTTTTGAATACTACGCACGACTAAAAAAAACATGCAATTGTTTAAAAACTTACACACGACTAAAAAAAACACAACTAAAAAAAAAACATCAATTTTTTAATAATTATTTCGTACGATTAAAAAAACTTGTAATATTTAAATGCTGCATTCAACAAAAAACTTCAATTTTTTTAGTATTCGAAAAATTGTAAGTTTTTTTTGAGATAAAATTTTTTTTATACTCAGCTTTCATTTAAATCGCATTAAATCTTTTTAATCATCAGTAAATCGAATATTTAATATATACTACACATAATTTACAATATCCCTGCTGTATTGTATAGAAATAGGGTAATGTTTATAAATACGTTATTTTTTTGTTTTGATAAACTTTGCATTTTGAACTCACCCAACCTCTTAGTAGCAACGTTCAATCATACCTAGTGTTATACTAGCTTAAACCAGGCTGGGCAAATGCCTAAGAAAACGGGTAACGAGGCGAAGGATAACTCAAGCCGGGGTGCAGAAGTTTCGTACTGTATTTTGTTTTTAAAAGTATTGTACTGTACTTAAATTTAGGTGTACTATATTAT